TGTACTTATTGGGTGGTGGACAAAGCCCGAAATAGTATTGGCACTACTTTACGCGCCCCTAAGATTGAGGCTTATGCATGGGCACTACCTCGACCACTCATAGCGCCCAAGAGTGAAACGGAGCCAGTTCAGCCACTAACCGCCCTGTCGATCCTTGGGTGGCAGTGTGCAGATGCCTAGAGGCCAGCGCATTTTAATAATCTAGATTGTTAACCCTGGCACCCGGGCGGAAACAGGCATGAAAGAGGTGTAAAAGAGACAGAGGCCAAAGTAGGGCAAAAACAATACGTAGATAGGTATAGTGTTACTCGCTTTTAGGCTTTTGTACGGGGTATAGAAATCGTTCAATAGTTCATAGCAAAATGTGCAGATCCATGACCCCTGCGGTAGTAAATTAAGCACATGGATAAGCCCTGAGGGGATCAAACCGAAAGGCTATAAGGCTGCATGAAAATTTCAGAAAATATAACAAGTTTGAAGACGAGTACAGATCGCTAGATCATTAGAAGAAGACGTTAACAAGTCCCAGGAAAGGACAGACCTGATATCTCGTTGACGAATAAGACGGTGAGCCCATGTCAAATAGGATGTTTATCAAGAAGACTGAAGGGAAATGTACAAAAGAAAATTTAATTGATATTATGAAATGCTATGACAACCCTTTAGGTGCTCCGACGACTCACCTAGGGGTTTGATAAGACGTATAGTGCGAGCGACCATCCTGCGACTGATCATTCAACGACCCTCCATCCGCCGATCCTGGTACTTGATCCAATTGCGTGAGCGGAAATTCACTATCCGTCTCATCCATTCCATGCGTCCGTTTCGCCGTACTATTCTTACTCAGGGCGGGTTTCGTAGACGGCTGTGTCGAGTATGCGGCACGGACACTGGAGAACAAGGACGGAAAAGCGGCCTTGAGGATTGGCCGAAGCATGGGTGCGCAGGAATTGGCAATGGCAAGAGCAGGCTCGGTGACACTCCAGAAAGCAGCCCAGATCATCGAGTACGAGAGGTCGGTGAAATCGACTGTAGTGAGCACACGGATACGGATGATGGTGATTGAGGAAATACTGTGATACTCGTTAAATCTTCACGACGGGAAGCCTAGTAGGGAAAGGAAACGGAGTGGAACCCACAAGATGCCCAATCCAAAGATACCAACCAACGCCAACTTAGTCGCCATAGACATCTGCAATTTCCAGACAAAGCGAATTGGCAATGCCATGATCATCACATCGGTGAGAAGGTTGAATGCTCCAATTGTTGAAAAAGCTACATTCTGGCTCGCACAATGACCCGGCAGAGTCGGGTTCCAATTCTTCTCGAAGGGGGTGCAAATCAGAAATATTTGGAGCATACTCCCAGTCCAGTACGCGCCAGCACATCCCATACAGATCCACGTCAGGATGCGGAATTCCCTGGACACAAAGATGCGCAGGTAGAAGGCGAGGTAGGAGAATTTAGCCAGGACCATGGCATTGTAGTAGACGATTTGGTAAACCATCAGCATTTTCGCGATCAATACCGCATTCTCTGGGGGAATAGTCATGATATGGTGTCGCATGCCGACACGAGCATAGTGGTATTGCATTGCAAGCATTCCATATGTGTGGAATAGCCCTGCGACGCAGCATGCATCGTCCCATCCTAAATGGCTTTTTCGAATTCGTCGGGAGACACCACGCAATATGACAAGGAAGGTGGCGACTGCAACGAGAATAGTGTTCGCGATGAGCTGGTCACGCACGACAGGGAAGGCAAAAACATTGTATAATTGCATTTTCCCATTAATTCATCGGTCTTGGACCTTTGTACACACCATATATGGAATTTAAAGGGTGAAGGAACTTTAAGAGCCGTGAAGAGCTGTCAGTTTACGGGCAACAAACCTCATTGTCTCCATCTATTGTACAAAGTACTACAAAGTCTGCACTAGGATTTCACACTGGCTATTAATTGGCCAGATAAAACTACCATCAGGAGATTTATGGGCCGCTGTGGGGGGCCGTTTTTGCTAAAACCAAATTAAATTACCAGTGTGGACTTGAAGGCTGAAGAGATCGCCTGTCATTGGAACGAATATCAACTAGTCGGGGCCAAGTCAAACTCGCAGAGACCATTTCCCCTATTATCTCCATTCCCTCGGCTATGAACAAATAGCATACCAACTCACTTGTTCCTTGAATGGACTGTGGACACTAGTCTCACCGAGGGATATAAGCGACCTTCCGAACAAGTTACAGAATACGAGCTAACAAGATAACCGCTAACTTGAAGCTAACAGGTTATGGGACTTCTGTGCCCCGTAAATGCCGTGTGCTCCGGTGTCCCGCTGCCAACTCTTGATTCTTCTGAAATATTTCTATAATTGTCACTTCCCTTCCATAGTAATCAAAGCTTGTTAAATGGCAACATGGATGACTACGACTACATCATCATCGGCGCAGGAATTGGCGGCCTCGTTTTGGCAAATCGTCTAAGCCAAGATCCCACCCTCAATGTCCTCCTCATTGAAGCTGGCGCCAATCGGATGGGCGATCCTCGTATAGAGACCCCTGGATTTTTGGCCACGATGTACGGCAACCCGGACTTTGACTGGGATTACATGAGTGTTCCGCAGGTAAGCCCGCAGTAAACATCGGCTTCTCGTATCGAAAGCTTATCAATGAATAGGTCCACGTAAAAAACCGACAAATCGGTCAGCCCCGCGGTCGTGTTGTCGGCGGCTCTTCCGCATTGAATTTCTCCGCGGTTATGTACCCAACCGCATCAAACTTTGATGCGTGGAAGGCACTTGGAAATGATGGCTGGGGCGCCGAGGACATGGCTCCCTATCTTCGGAAATTCCACTCGTATGCCGCACCCAGCGAGGCCACAGCAGAGCTACTCGGCACAAGTCGATACATGAAAGTTGATAACCAAGGATGTGATGGCCCTGTCCCAGTATCTCTGCCAGACGTGTATGGCCCCTTTAACAAGGCCTGGAATGAGACATTTGCTGAACTAGGCTGGGAAACCGATGCCGATCCGATTGATGGCCACAAACTGGGTGCTTTTACTTGCCCGCTAAGCGTAGATGTCAAGACAGGGAGAAGAGGGTATGCGGCAGCATACTACTCCCCCGATGTCGCAGCGCGGCCGAACCTACGACTTCTTGCAGAGACAATGGTGGGGCGAATCATCTTCTCTCAACAAGAGGGAGATGTCATCGCCACGGGCGTGCAGATCAAGACTCAAGACGGTTCACACGAGATCAAGGCAAAGAAAGAAGTGATCCTCTGCGCAGGCAGCCTAAACTCCCCGCAACTGCTCGAGCTCTCGGGTATCGGCCGTGCAGATCTTCTCCAGACCCACGGCATCCCGGTAATCGTCGACAATCCCGCCGTGGGCGAGAACCTCCAAGACCACAGCATTACGAGCATCAACTTTGAGATCGCCGACGGCCAAGTCTCGGGCGATATCATGCGTGAACCTGATGTCGTCCAGGCACTCATCAAGCTCTACGAGGAGACGCGCGGGGGTCCGCTGGCAGGCATGCCCCTAAGCATGGCGTATCTCCCGTTAATGGATGGAAGCGGTGCCGTGCCGAAAGAAGAAATCGACACCCTGCTCTCTAAGTACCTTGACAACGATAACACCCCAGCCAACCTCCAAGCACAGTATTCCCACCTCCGTAAGATGCTCCTCCAAAGCGACGACGACGCCTCCTCGCACTACCTCTTCCTCCCTGCCCAACTGCACATGAACCCAGGCAAGACAACCCTCACCGACGTGCTGGCCAAAACCTTCCCGGAGAACTACATCTCCATCATGATGCTGCACAACCACCCATTCTCGCGCGGCTCGGTCCACATTTCCTCGGGAAAGAGTGAAGACAAGCCCATCTACGACCCGAACCTGCTGTCGCACCCGCTCGATCTAGAGATCATGGCCCGGCAGATGCAGTTCGCGGAACGCATTGCCGAGACAGCGCCATTCTCCGCTCTCCTCAAGGCCGGGAAGCGCATGCCTCTGAATACGGCCGACTTGAGTGACTTGGAGCATGCGAAGGATGTCGTTAAGGATCGCTTGTATACATGTTTTCATCCCGCGGGCTCGTGTGCTATGTTGCCGAGGGAGATCGGTGGTGTTGTTGATTCTGAGCTGAAGGTTTATGGGACGAAGAATTTGAGGGTTGTTGATGCTAGTGTATTCCCGCTTGAGCCCAGTGGCAATATTCAGGCTACTGTTTATGCGGTTGCGGAGCGGGCGGCAGATTTGATCAAGGCTAGAACCTGAAGTCGGGGTTGACATTCTAGACATGGCCTCTGGTTGTGGACATCCCTGATAGGACAGGTTTATTTCTCCACATTGTATAAAGTCAAATTGAAATCATGCTTTTACAGCGTAAGTGGTATAGAAAAGTGACACATGGAACCTTGGAAGGCTTTAGAGTATTACATGCAGAATATGAGGACCTGTGAAATCGACGCCGAAAATGTCAGCCTTTGACGCCAGAACGGCTATAGTGCAATGCACATTAATATACACCTATAAATCTTGAATCATGCAAGTACTCATGGAAAGTGTTGCTCGTTGACTTACCAGCCTGCATTTGATTTTTGCTCAACATGAAATTAGTTGAGGCAGAGTGGTTCCAACATGCCTCATTTGGGCAGACATTCTCAGCAATGTTTCTCAACACTTGTCACGGACAGACATGGCTGAGCTGGTGCAAAACGATGCATGTGAGCAACCAGACAAACCGAGGAGTCTACAAATACCGCCTGTAAGACCTTCGTGCCACTGGATCTCTACATTTTCTATCAGCGAGTCCATTGGAATGAAACGAGAAATGATCCTGCTCTTGAAAGAGCGTCTTCTTCTCAAGATTGTATCACGCATGCGTTCGATCGTATTACAATCTCTCTTATACCAATTCAAAAATGCAGGTCAAAATTCCAATACAAAAGACGTTTGCTGGCCCATACGGTCATTGGCCGGCTTAAATACAGTGCTCAGTGGCGCCCTTGATCACGGCGAACACCCCGAAGGATATCGCAATCCCGGAAATCAATATCACGTTCGGATGCCGATCCCCATTTGAGCTGCCTTGTCCAAGGCCTAACCAAAGCAGACTTCTCACACGGGGCGAGTAGGCCTAGGGCGCAGCCTCCGTAGCCAATATTGGTGGATCGCTCCCTTCATTGCGGTATTTTCCTAGCCCTGACTACTACGCCACGTGTCTTGGAGTTCCGAGGCTTGCCCTTCATGTATCTTCCAATTCCCCGGATCGTCACTGTAAATACCTCTTTTACCACCCCCATCAACCTAAAAACGTCCCCAAGAGATGTGCCCTCTGCACCCTACTCTGACAAGTCCAACATCTTGAGAGACAAATCCCACAACTTCTTCTCGCCCTCCGGATCGAAGGCGTGTGGTGCAACACCGACCGCCAGTGTACCACCCTCGGGGACCGGGCCAGCTTCCTGGCAATCCTCCAGATAGACACCACCCTTGTCTTCCCATTCCTTACCAAATGCAGCCGTTATGGTTGTGGCGGCGCCCTGAGCCGAGCTCTTGCCATACTTTTGCGCAGGCTCACTTGAACCCCACTGCTTCAACGTTTCCGGGTCGACGTGGCGCTGTAGGCCTGTGGCAATACCACCAGGCATCAACGAGAGGCCGTGCAGACCCTTTGAACTGTATCGGTGCTCGATCTCGTTCGTCATCCAAATACAAGCTGTCTTGGCATTGCCATATGCCTTCCACTCCTCGTACTCACCCTCAAGGTTGATGTTGTCGAGCACAACAGAGCTCATGTGATGGCCAGCGGAAGAGACGTTGACGACGCGGGATTGGAACTCAGGTGTGGAACTGGACAAGAGCGTCTGCTCGAGTAGCTTGTAGAGAAGGAAGTGGCCGAGATAGTTGATTGCAAGCTGCGACTCGAAGCCATCCGCTGTCTTCGTCTCTGAGCATGCCATGATCCCCGCATTGTTGACCAAGACATTGAGCTGGGTTGACTTGGACAGGAAAGGTCTTGGCCGCGGTGCGGACGCTTTCCATTGAGCCAATGTCTAGCTCAAGCAGCTCCACACGGCCGGGTTCAAGTATCTCTTCCAGAGCTTGCTTTCCCTTCTCCAAATCACGAACGCCAAGATACACTTTACCACCAGTTGCGGCGAGCGCACGACCAGTTTCAATGCCAATTCCTCCAGAGGACCCGGTGAGAAGAAAGACCTGGTTATGGTCAATTCCAGTTCTGGTTTTCAGCAGCAGCAATGCCCACCCTGTCCTTCATGCTATCAATCCGGTCGTTGTCCTTGAGAATGTCAAGAGCTGTAGGTCGAGCGTCTCCAGGCCCATTCTGCTCCAAGAAGGCCTGAGTGTACTTGCCGTTCTTGCCATGGTGATTACTAATGAGCGGATTGGCCATTATGGTGATTGTGATGATGGAGGATAGCTGGTAGATTGACTTTGCAAGTGGATGCTGGGGAGAAGGTGTATGCCTGGTGGGGCTTTTATATAGGGTGTGTGGGAGAGCGTGGTAATGGAGTGACTTGCACTGGCACGACTTGGAACATGGGTCAAGAGCTGAAAGACTGTTCGAACCTCGGACTTTATTTCGGATTTTGCTTAGGACCGTTTATTGGGCAAGGATATGTTCAGATCCAAATTCAGTACTATTACCGTCCAATTAGGATTAACTCCATCAGCGGACTGCTATATTGGGCTTAAATCCACCATATGACCATCATCGTTATTTAACAAAGGAGAAGGGAGCTGAAAATGTGGCTTCGTCTTTTTGCCGGAATAGGATAGCAGCCGAAACGAATCGCCAAAAAGATCATCGGGATAAGCCCGAGTCGGGCAAGCGGGGAGACAGGAACAAAGAAACCCCTCCAGGGCTGTTCGTCGGGCTGACTCGATGACTCATGGTAGGTAACCTGGTAGGGTACGAAGACGTATGGGGGCCAGGGTTCAGGCCCCTCTTTTAGGGAGAATTCATGCCTGAATGATTCAAGTTAGAAGGGTCGAACCATAAGACTCGCGTTTATTTCCTGGACAAAGATGGCAAAACGCGTTTGGTAATGAATCTCCCTCGAATCCAGGATCACTGCTAACATAAAGCAGCGCGTTCGCAAAACTCCAGAGGCTGGTGACGAGGGTGAATGGGAGGATGATACGAACTTTCCCTCAAAGCAGACCTTGCCAGCTACACAGCTAACGGCTGTCCGTACCGACGAGGATGATGCAAATATACAGCTCTATTATCAGGACCTTGACGGCTCTGTCAAAGAGATGAAGTATATTTCTGACGCGAAAGGCTGGCATGAGGACGAGACGGGAATCCAGGATGCCCAGCCAGGAACCAGCCTGTTTGCGCTCTGTGGAGGCAATAACTTTGAAACGAGATTGTACTACCAAGACGAACAGAACAAGCTCCAGGAACGGTACACTAATACCATGGAGAACTGGCGAAACAGTAAGTCAGTATCAACAATTGTGGGCATGTCACGATACCATATATCTGAAAAAACGACACAGGTAAAATCAGAACATTTGAGCTGGCACCCAAAGCACCTATTGGCGCCGTGGCTTGGAGCTATGACACGAAAGTGGATGAATTTATGGGTCAGAGGAAGTGCCCCCAACGTTATGTATGGAAGAAGGAAGGCGAAGGCTACCGCTGCTCAGCAGGGGGCCATTACAAGAGCTATGAGGATGCGCGCGCCGACGCCAAAGCTGAAGGTGTTATATGACGGTCAGATGGAAGCATCAAGGGTTTAAGGAGAGAGGGCCGAAGGGAGAAAACGTGGTTCATTGTCAAAAGTTCGCTTCATGCTTGAGTCATGTAACAATTGTCTTTGCGTATAGTTCGTGCGAAATGTGATGCAATTGGTTGCTTCGGAACCGATGCCGTGGGTCAATATTCTGTCAAGTGTATGCACACACGTCGAATGTACAACGAGAAGAGGAATCTTGCACCCCATCTATCTCACATCAGGCATTTGTGTCCAGTGCGGTTGTTACCTGCTTAGCGGGGACATTTTGAACAGTATGTGCTGTAATACGAAACAAAAAAAAAAATGTGAAAAATGAAACAAAAAGAATATTGATAAGAGTGGGATTCGAACCCACGCCCCTTTCGAGACCAGGAAACTATTGCTAGTTGTGGAGTTAAGGTATACCTTAACCTGGCGCCTTGGACCAACTCGGCCATCTTACCAATTCGTTGGAAAGAAGGACACAATTGTCATTCACAAGTGATTACTACGCTCCCCTCGTATCCCAAATTATCCCTTTGATGAAAAAGTGGCAAGTCCAGGCCGGATTTCCTCGGGTGGGGCTTTCCCATTTCAGCTATGATCTCACAGATTTGCGGTATGAAGAATATGAACTGTCCTTTTCAGTCCGTTTGATTTTTCATTCAATTGGACTTATTCCCTACTCCGTACAGGGAAACCCCATACCATGTCTTATCTTTACCTTGAAAGGATCCCGGAAACATAACAAAATTCCCGAAGGGGGCCAGTGGATCGGCAGAAGAACGTTCTCGGCCCCCGAGATCGGAAAGCGGACAGCTCTGACGCAAGGTGCTCTTATTATTAGAACGGTCACAACTTTCCCAAAGCTGGGAACAGACTGGTCCACTCCCCAAAAGGCAAACTAATCAGATGCCAATGGATTATTCCGTATGGCTCTTTGCATTCGCAGGAAGGTGGACACCTTCAGGGGTGGCGGTTTGAGTCCACATGATGTAATCTTCTTCCTCCGGATCAGCGGTCAAAACCAGCGGTGACCCTCGCAAGCTGGTCGATTCAGCCGCAAATATTTCTTCTTCTCTCAAGCTCACTCTTTTCTTTCAATCTGACCATGGCTCCCCTAAAGCTCAACACCAAGAACCTGCAGTCAATTAAGGTCGCAGGCGATGGGCAGGTCCAAGTCCCAACCCATCGTTTCCGCGATGACTCTGTTAAGGAGGGAATCGTCCACATTGGTGTGGGCGGCTTCCACAGAGCTCATCTGGCCGTCTACGTTGACCAGTTGATGGAGAAGCATAATGAGAAGAACTACGCAATTTGCGGCGTTGGTTTGCAACCCTTCGATGCTGCCATGCGTGATGTCCTGAGAGAGCAGGACCACCTCTACACCGTCCTGGAGCGCTCGGACAAAGGAAGCTTTGCCCACGTTGTTGGATGCATCAATTCCTACCTCTTTGCCCCCGACGACCGCAAAGCTGTCATTACGAAGATGGCCCACCCTGATACCCGTATCGTGTCGCTCACCATCACCGAAAGCGGCTACTACTACAACGAAAACACACACGAGCTCCTAAGCGATCACCCCGATATCCAGGCCGATACCAAAGAAGGCAACGAAGACAAACCGTGCACAACCTTCGGCTTCCTCTACGCTGCCCTAGCAAAGCGCTACCACGACGCAGAGTCCAAGGACAAGGTCAAGCCCTTCACCGTTATGTCATGCGATAACATGCAGAAGAATGGCTCTATCACACGTCACATGCTAGTGTCATTTGCGCGCTTGATGCGTGACCCTGAGGTCGCGAACTGGATTGCCGAGAAGGGCGCCTTCCCCAACGCCATGGTCGACCGCATCACACCCCAAACATCAGCCGAGGACAAAAAGGAACTAGCGAGGGACTTTGGAATCGAGGACGCATGGCCCGTTGTCACAGAGCCCTTCATGCAATGGGTTATCGAGGACCAGTTCTCCAACGGCCGCCCAGAGTTCGAGAAGGTCGGTGTCCAGGTTGTCAAGAATGTCCACGACGTCGAGGAATTCGAGATGCACAAGCTCCGTCTGCTTAATGGCAGCCACTCGGCCATCGGCTACCCTGGCCAAATGGCAGGCTTTGAATACGTCCACGAAGTCATGCAGAACCCGCACATGCGCAAGTTGGTGTGGGAGATGATGCAGGAGGAGGTGAAGCCGCTGTTGCCGGACATTCCAGGCGTCAACATTGACGATTACTGCAAAACGCTCGTGAAGCGCTTCTCCAACTCAAAGATCAAGGACCAGCTGCCCCGCATCTGTCTCAATGCCTCCGGCAAGATCCCCACAGTTCATCATGCCATCCATTGCCGAGGCCATTATGGAGAGCAATAAGAAGCAACGTGAATATCCTTTCCGTCGTCTGTGTTTCGTCGCGGCTTCCTGGTTCCTTTACATCAGCGGTGTCGACGACAACAAAAATAAGTTCGATGTCGTCGACCCCATGATCGACGAGCTCAAGGCTGCGGCTGAGGCCGGCCGTGGCGGTCCCAGCCAGCTGCTCGAAATCAAGAACCTCTTCGGTGACGACTTGCGCGAATGTAAGCGGTTCACCGATGAGATGGAGCAGGCTATGAAAGACATTGCTGAAAAGGGCGTCTTGAAAACACTCGAAGAGTACTTTCCTGACCGTACCTGAGAGCCTTAACTAATCGCTATTGGTGGCGTAAAAAAAGTTACACTCTGCGAGCGTTGTTTTGGGTTTTTTGCATGCGTCCTGGGATGAATATACCAGGGGAAAATACGACATAAGAGATAGACGGTAGATAAAATTTACCTACTATGTACTTGTATATTGGAATGGATGTCGTTGGAGAGACACTATCAGATTTGACTGAGCTGTTTTCTATGTTTTGGAGAAGCGGGCACATTTTTGATTGAGCTGTTTTTTGGGTATGTTTTGGACAAAGCAAATCGTTTGTGGGCGGGGATATAGCCATGGAGGTCTACGATGTTTAGACCACTGCGAATCTTAATTGCATTTTGATATACCTCGGTTCAACTTTCCAAGCCTTGTATGTGGAGTAGACAGCTTCTGGTCCCCGGGACCACCTTCTACTGTTAAAGTACTAAAGGAAAGTGAGGACGTACCCCACTGGACTCTACAGAATCTCATTTTTAAGCCAATAGTCAGGTTCTATTCAGAATGAAATTCATAGCCAATCAAGGAATCGACAGTTATCACATTTACATTCTGACACGAGCCATCGTACCCGAGAACTAACAAATACAAGAGAAGATTTAAATATTTTCAGTGGATTTTGAAGTATCTGGGATAATAGAACACCCGCTAGCAGTTTAAAATAGGAGTATGTGTGAACAATATTACAAAAAAAAGGCCAAACCCACAAATCCAACTGGTGGGATAGGGGCTATGTAAGCCAGTAAACAAAAGACAAGTCTAAATCATCATGCAAAACAAGTTTCAAGTTTACAGCATGATCATGAAGACACCAGAAGCAACGGCAGCGACCGCGTAGGCACCAGCCTGCCAGGCACCAATGTGCACAGCCTGGGGAACAGTGCCAGCAGCAATACCCGAGGAGGTAGCACCACCACCGGTACCAGAAGCACCGGCACCAGTGCTAGCAGCAAGACCACCGCTGACAGCACCAGTACCAGCAGAACCAGCAGCGCTCATCTGAGTAGCGCAGGAGCCGGAGGCAGAGGTAGACTTCTTGGTCTTGGCAACACCGTTGAAGCCACAAGCCTCGCTACCAGCCTTGCCCTTGTTCTTCTGGTAGTAAACGTTCATAGCCCAAGCCAGACGCTGCTTGGCAGAGCACATGGAGTAAGCGCCGTAGGTACCAGAAGTACTGTTGGACTGGACACCGTCCATGACACCCTCACCACCGAGGTAACTGAAGGTGGAACCGACCTGCTTGTCGGTGATATCGGAGTTGGGGACACACTCGAGGGAGTTGTACATGCACTCGCAGAGGTCGGCGTTGGGGGAGGGGGGCAGCTTGCTAGCGGCGTTCCAGTCGGAGCCGACGGTGGGACAGCTGCGGCCGACGGTGGTGGAGACGGAGTACTTGGCGGATTCGACGCCGGTCGGGGTAGCGGAGGCCATTTGCTTGGAGAGGTTGCTGAAGTCCGGGAGGGTCTTGACGTCGTCGCCGTCGACGGAGACGAGGCCGTACTTGTTGGCTTCTTCGTAGTACATGTAGACGATGCCGCCGGACCAGACGTCGGTCATCTTGTCGCTGTACAGGACGGGGACGTCGGTGAACTTGCGGGGACGGACGGAGTTGCAGCCGTACTCGGAGAAGAAGGCGGGGACGGGGTAGTCTGCGAATTCCTTGGTGCGCTCGGCGTAGCCGGATTTCTCGAAGGAGGAGTCGCCGCACCACTCGTAGATGTTGTAGCCGAAGAAGTCGATGGAGTCGGCGGCTTCGTCGCAGATGAGGTAGTTGGAGACGGCTTCGCGGACGGTGGCATCGTCATCGGTGGCGTAGCCGACGGCCAGGGAGCTGCGGTAGTTCTTCTCCTTGATGTAGGACTTCATGTCGCGGACGGCGGCTTTGACGTAGGCCATGGAGTTGGTGTTGTTGACCTCGTTGGCGACTTCGTTTCCGGCGAAGAAGCCGATGACGTTGGGGTACTTGGCGAAGGCATCGACGACCTGGGAGTAGCGAGTAAAGAGATCTGAGTTCCAGGTAGGGTCGTCGGACACAATAGATTCGCTGGGCGAGGACAGGTCGGTGATCAGATAGATACCGGCGTCGGCGAGGGCGTTCATACACTCATCGTGGTCCTTGCTGGGGTCGACGGCGTAGGTACGGACAACATTGGTGCGCAATTGGGTCAGGTAGGGGATATCACGCTTGCAGGTGTCGATGGCCAACGGGTCGGTGTATTTGCTCTCGGTGGAACCACCGTTGCCACCGGTATATTCAGGCTGGTAGGCGACACCACGGATGAAGAACTCGGTACCGTTGTTGGAGTAGAAGAACTTCTTGCCCTTGATCTCAATAGAGGGAATGTCGGCAGCCATAGCCGCTCCCAGAAGGGAGAGACCAGCGATGATGGAGGCCTTCATTGTGTAAGGGAAATTAAATCCTAACGAATGTCTGACAGGTACCCGTCTTTGGTAGCGAATGTAAATAAGAGAAAGAAAGAAGAAATCCAAGAAGGGAGTACGGAGTAAAAAAGAGACCCTGCGGGAAGAAGGAGGAAGGGGGGATATGTACGCGCATTCATGTGGATAAAATCAAGTGCATATCATCCATCCATGTTTGAATTCCTCTTTTTTTCTATTTTTGTTTTTGTTTTTGGTAAATCAATTGAAAGATGTGATTGGCAATCCATAAGGAAAGAAACAAGGTGGAAGAAGTTCATATCCTCCATTATTGGCCGTGATACTCCCCTACTCTCCACTACTCTCCACTATCCCTCCACTATCCCCTTCCGTCAAGCCTTTTCCCGTTGAGTCCTTTTGCTTATTTGCCACCCCTGAAACAAGTGTAAGCGCTAGTGTGTGGACGGCTCGATGATACTCGGAAAACCCTGGACCCTGACTGGAGGGTTTATGTGGAACTCCTCTTTTACTAATCTATTGGAAAAGTCAGTACAATGTTGTACGGAGTATCTTGGAACTTGTTCACCGGTCCTAAGTGTACAACAATATCTATAGATATGTACAACATACGTACAATATTGTATGATAGACAAGATATCCAAAGCTTGTTCGTTGCCAAGGACGATCGATGCTGTGACGTTCGGAATGAAAATCTCTGGGCATCCTTGGCTAAGGCTTGTCCATTATACAACATACGGAGTAGCACTTCCAAGGTTAAACATAACAATTAATAAACCATCCCAAATAATGGACTGGTCAGTACGGAGTAGAAACTGTGCCTTAAATAGTACAGAGTATACCGTGCTCGTGTAGGGTACTTCTGCGGCGTTTCGGGCCAATGTTTCACATCTCACAGGCCTATGATTTTATGATATTCTTGGATCCGACAATGCTACAATTTGACCATTGTACAGAGTATAGTAGCTCAACTTATTAGGGTACATATACTGTTCAATATAGTAATATTCTAGATATTCCATTAACTTGGGACAAAACCATCCATATCCGTAACATCCTTAATTTGGACGATCAGACGGCACAGCAGGCACTAATATTCCCTCCCGTCTTTATTGCCGCCCTCTTTCCCATGGGCTTAATGATATAGCCAGGATACTTTTTTTTTTTCTCAAAAAACGCAATCTGCAATTCTCCAGCATACAGCCCAATATCATTCGAGATCAGAACCAGGCAGTGCAGCTCAGGGGTATATGCACCCCTGAATATCATAGATCACGTCAAGAGCGGGTCCTAGCATACGATATCCTACGAGAGAGTCAATCCTCTCCCATTCGGGCTTCATGGGATGTACCCCGAGCATATTTTGCTTTACCAAGCTTTGTGGCGGAATAATAACCTGCTCGGGATGGAGTCTCTGTGGATTCTTTGTTTTGTTATCAGTATGAGGTATTTCCAAGCCATTGGGGCTATGACAAAAACCCTCCAGTATTGGTGTGAGATCCACTAGCTGAGACTGATAAGTGCCGCTTACGGAGTACTTTGCTGTCTATACTGCGTACCGGGGTACATGGTGAACATTTTAGTTAAATATGCGCAGGATGGCCTTGCTCGTGGACATTGATGACATGTTCCACCTTGTAAAGGACCGCTGCGAAATAGACGTCATTTCCGAAGTCCAGAATATGTATGTCTACTCCGTATTCGACTCAGTGTCGTTAGAGCCCGAATACCCAGGCATTACTCTGTACTGTTGTACACACATCCCCGCCAGGACAGTGGGTAAATATTTAATAAGCGTCTTGTAAAGGATACCAATTCGTGCTATCACACGGGAGCAATAGCCATAACCAACGCTCAAAGCTGGTTAGCGTATGTAACGTCTAGGATTCGCAAGATATATAATCCAGGAGCAATTTTCATTGATTCGTCAACCACCTGCGAGATTTTCCTGCAGTCCTGCCGGGATACACATTTCAATCTCAGCGTTATAAGCCAAAGCCTAGGATGTCGTACAGAAATAATATGTGTATACTACTAGTCACGCGGATGACATGGGAACTCCCACAACAAGCAGAGGCCCAAGAAGCGAGGTTTGTCCTCCGTTTCTAAAGACAAATTAAATAACGTGAATCAGAAAAATGATTTTAGACGAAGTTACTGAAAGACACAAAGCCCTGGAGAACAGGAATTCAGGCTCGAAGTGGCTAGCGCGAGGTAGGCAGCAACTATTTCCCCTAAGATGTGGAAATTTATAGGCCATAGGGCTGACCTTTTTCCTTTTCTGTGAATTTGCAAATTTTTTGAATTTGAGGCTCTTGACTTCCATTTTGCTCTGCCTCGCTCTGCCTTACTCTGCCTTCGTTTCACCAACCGCCCGACCGCAAACCTTACAGCACACCAACACAACAGAACTGAAAAGGCGACAACCAACTAGGTCAGCAGCGCAGCTGAATGAGCTGATCGTTGATGGACATATATTTCCTCGGGATACAGCCTTTTACTTTTTCAGGGACAAAGAGTGAGCGTAAGCCACCGACGGCCGCAGTAACTGCCCCAGGCTAGTTGATCATTGATCACGGCTTCATCACGAAGAGTGGCTTATAACAAAAGTCAATATGGACACCAGCGTGTCTAATGATAGGTTTGAAATTCCTTAGGAGAGCGTGCCAGAGCACTTCCAACGGTCCCGGTGCTGCCCAGCCCTGGAGGTGTCCAGTGCTTATGTTGTACATGGGCAACAACCTTGAAAACCAACACGTGACTGTTTCAATATGCGTCAAGCAAGCTTGACCGGGAAACCAACCAACACATACGTTGGACTAAAGGAAAAGGGGCTTGTGGCGTTCTGAAGAAATCAATACTCCATACTCCGTACTCGAGACTTGATTGATCCAAAGACTGCCAAGAGCGGGTCAAACCCCCCCTACACAATTGTTGGAAATTTCCCAACGAAAGACCCATATTTGTGCCCCTCTGTGCCACGATTGCCCCGTACGGAGTACAACATACAACATACGGAGTACTATGTTGTATATTCCTATGGCATCCGCAGGGATGCCCGAGCAAATCCAGGTGCGGTGTGCTATTTGAAGACTGCCGATGATCGCAAAACAAGATTATGCCAAGTCACCCAAGCATAAGACAACAAAGCTTCCACTGACGAAGCTTTCGGTTCCAAGCTTTTGAGTGGCGGAGTTTCTTCGTCCAGCGCATTCAAGTTCATATCTGACACAGTCTGCGCAACATGAATTCATAGAAGTGGGCTTGAAACAGATACTTATTCTAACTGGTTCTTTACCAACCAACGTTGACCACCTTTCCCTACCAGTCTCGCAATCCGAGCTTGCTGTTTTCGAGACGCGAAGCTCATAATATTGACTCCACTATGCGCGCTATACCACAATACGGAGTACGCACTACCACGATCGCCCGGACGAATGTGGCTGTGTGTCTCAATTCTTCTCGAAGTCCGTTCTCTAAAGAAACCTAGAAAATTGTTACCAGACAAATTCTATCCCTTCATTTTCCGACTCCTTTTGCTCTGTTTCTCTCCGTTCGTTTCATAATTGTCACTCGTTTGGTCTTTGTTGACTTCCCACCCTTGCTTGGGCGCGATTATTCTCACCGTTCCCCTGTCCGCCTGCCATTGTTTGAGTCAGTCCCCTTTGAACTTCGCGGATCCGCCATTTATCATCCTGTGGCTGAATCTTAAGCCCATCCCCATCCAGCGCTTGAGCTACCGTAATCGCTTCAGCCTGTGAACCCGCTGAGCTACCCACATCTCGAAACCTTGAAGGAGTACGTGTTCCCCTAGCCCTTCTCATAGGCATCCTCGCAGGCGTCGCAGGTCCAAGCCACGCTGTGGCTGTATCACCAATTGGACCAAATATAACCTCACTGTTGGCATCTTGTGCCCTAACTGCTGTTGCTTTGTCCTTGTTTTTCCTATTTAAGTATCTCTCGCAAGATCACACTTACTTACAGATCCATTTCTCCACAGAGACTCACATCAATCTATCATTATGCGTAGGTCCAACATTTATACTCAACCCCAACTGGCCAGTCATACTAACAATACAACTAGATAAAATTCGCAGTGCGGCTCGCGCATCGGCATGGTACGGCCCTTCCTTCAACCCATTCCAAAAGATCCAAACCAGGTCCCATCGATCGAACTCTATGCAACTCGAGGGTGGACTAGCCCACTCCCAGACCCTGGGCGAGCTCTCAGCAGACCAACAACGCCGAAGGGAAATGCACGACGGCCTCAACGTCCCGGAGTACTCAAACACATTCGGGCCGGAGTTCTCTGGCAGTGACCATGAAACAATCAAGTCCCCGCCCGAACCGTCCATGGCGAGCGAGGATCCAATCAATGTCTCGTCGGTGCGCGGGGTCGATACTGAGACTGTTGGATCCGCGCAAGCGCGTCAGCGGAAGGGTGGCATCTTGGGCAAGTTCAAGCATCGCCATGGTGACGATGGATTGGAGGATAAGAAGTCGCTTTCGGATAAGCAGAGTTTCACTTTTGCATCGCAGTTGAGGGCTACTGTCTTGAACTCGTGGATCAATGTTCTTCTGATTGCTGCACCTGTTGGAAGTATGTCTTGCTCTTCTTGCGGTTGATGATGTATGGAAGTGCCGTGCTAATTCTCTTTCTGTGCAGTTGTTCTATATGCCGTTGGAGCCAATCCGATTGCGATCTTTGTGGTTAACTTCATTGCTATCATGTGAGCGATTTATACCGACCATTGTCGAGGATCTTACGCTAACAGATGTCCACTAGTCCTCTTGCTGCCATGCTCAGTTTCGCAACTGAAGAGATTGCCCTTCGGTATGCTTGATGTATCTGATTCTATTTGACCTATACTCATATCTCTTCTAGCACGAGTGAAACAATCGGTGGTCTTCTGAATGCCTCGTTTGGGTATGCTTTATTCTACCCGTTGTCTCCTTCCACGGCACTATTTCTAACTTGTACAGTAACGCCGTCGAACTGATCGTTGCAATCATCGCACTGGTCCAACGCAAAACCCTCATCGTGCAGACCTCGCTCATCGGAAGTATTTTGTCCAACCTACTCCTGGTGTTAGGCATGTCTTTCTTCCTCGGTGGTATCCCTCGCATCGAGCAACATTTCAACGTAACAGTTGCCCAGACAGCCGCGAGTATGCTCGCATTAGCTGTTAGCAGTTTGATCATTCCGACTGCCTACCACAAGTGGTCCGATCGTAAGTGATGACTACACCAATTCGCAAATCGACAGAGCTAACGAGAATTTCGAATATAGTTGGAACAGTAGATGGAACTGCCGCCCTATCTCGAGGTACGTTATTCGCTACTTGCTGGGACTTCCCAGCCCCGTCCATCTCTTTATCTATCTTCCTACTCACACCACACCACAGGCACCAGCGTCCTCCTTCTAATCGTGTACGGCTGCTACCTCTTCTTCCAGCTGAAGTCACACGCCGACATGTACAACCGACCCAGCCAGAAAGTCGAACGGCGAAGCGCAAAGGTCGAAGAAGGCGACGCCAGCCGGGGTATTGCGCAGATCGGCAAAATGACTGCCACTCCGTTGGTCGGACAGAATCCCGACCACATGCAGATGGAGGATCTCGATGATGAACCCGAGGAGCCGCAGCTGTCCATTACTGTCGCCGTTCTTACGCTGATTATCTCGACTGCGTTTGTTGCTGCGTGTGCTGAGTTCATGGTATGCATATTCATTTTTCTTCGAGATCGGTTCTAGATCTTTCCCCCCCTTTTGTGTTGAAGTATGCTCATTTATCTACCAGGTTGAATCGATCGATGCCTTGACGGAGACGGGTAACATTCGCGAGACGTTCGTCGGCTTGATCCTCCTGCCTATCGTTGGTAATGCGGCTGAGCACGCTACCGCGGTGACAGTCGCATGCAAGGATAAGATGGATCTTACGATTGGTGTTGCTGTCGGATCTAGCATGCAGATTGCGCTGCTTGTTTTGCCGCTGATTGTTGTTCTTGGGTGGATCATCGGCGTTGAGGATATGGTATGGATGAGCCCTATGCAAACGATTATGTGGATTGAGGGCTGGTACTAACTGCGTTAGACTCTCAACTTCGACGGATTCCAGGTGATTGTGCTATTCATGTCTGTTCTTCTGGTAAGTGGTTTCAGTTTAGCGGAAAGTGATATCATTATACTGACTGGTGTTTCATAGGTCAACTACCTCATCGGTGATGGCAAGTCTCACTGGCTTGAGGGTGTCTTGTTGATGATGATGTATCTGATTATCGCTCTTGCGGCTTGGTATGTGGTCGTTACAGATGGCTGACAGTTGCCTTTTACTGACTGAGTCTCTAGGTTCTTCATTTAGACCTTTACACTCATTATAGTCATCGGGCTGGGTCCCCGTTGACGATACGATATCGATCTTTTAATTTACCATCCCATTCCTGGGAACTTCTTTTGGTTAATATTTCTTCTCCGTATCATGTTTATCTGCTTTGATTTGTTTTTGGATTCTATTATGATCGCTCATAATATACCCACTCTGGCGATGCTTTCCATGTCCGACGCATTTTATTTCTTCCCCGACTTTGTAGACAAAATTGACTGGTGATTGTATTTCAGTTAGCCGCAATAACCATTAACGAAAGTACAACAACATAAATAGCCGGAGAACAGCTCACATAACCGTCCTAATAGATCAGGCTAAAAAGTCAAGCTGACTAACCCGGCAACTTGGCCCCGAGTGGGGAATGGCAGAGCTTTTCGGGATTGAATTCGCCGAACTCAGAGAGTTCGCAGAGTCAACCTTGGGGAATAAACCCGTGGACGAATAAGCAGAGTACAATTATGCTGCTAAACACAGTTTGTTAGGGCATACTTTTAGCCACCGGGGATTTATCGGGGTAAACAATCTTGCACGGTTAGGCTATCCAAATCCGGACTCGGGAGACTCGGTATGCCACCGATGTTTCTAACCGAGCCGATGTGGGGGCTGGGATTGTTCCTGGCTTGTTCTGTTCGAATCCTTTTCATTTCTACTGCGGAGTTCCTCCGTACGGAGTCCCCGGGTCTTAGGTTCCTTTCCTGGAAGTGTTTAGCCTATAACAGACCAGGTAAGAAATTTGATGACATGATATATTTCTACCTAAGGTTTGTGTGAACCACGTGCCGACGGATAAGTTGGAATCGGTAACTGCTCCGCGCCGAGAAAGGTCAGGAAAGGGGGAAAGAGGATTTGATCCCGACCGGTGTTTTTCCTGGTTCATAATATTATTTTCCAGCCACGGCGCTGGAGGCTTTGCTCTAGCACTTGGATTGGACTATTTCTAAATTGAACGGTGTTCCGGCGGCACGGGATGTCTCGGATAATATGGGAAAAGGTTAGCAAAGATGAACAAGGGAGTTTCCTTTATTAATTTTTGTCAGCTGAGAGGCTACTCCATATGTGGGGTAGAGAACCAAAAAGATGTGGAAGGTCAATGTCGCAGTAGCAGAGGAATGGTAGGAATGGAACGGATGCAATGTTAATCGAGTATATGTCATGGAAACTGTTCAAAAAATTTCCCTTTTAAGCTTCCCCACTATTATCCACCGGGGTACGGAGTACGGAGTATAATATAAAAAAGCCAAGAGGCCGGAGATTTACTAGACATGGGAATATTAGGCACATGACCATTGGTCCTGAGTCTCGGACTTCTAAAGTTACTGTACAAATATAAATACTATAAGTCTCCCACTCTATACATCTATACGATATCCATACTGTATGATATTTTTAAAAAAAAAGTCAAAACGAACAAGAACTTCTTACCTAATATAAAGTAAATGCGGGGTTATCCGGGGTCCAATCGCTGGAGCCTCGGAGGCTGCGGTCCAATCGCTGTATCGGACGGGGCCGAAATGTGACCGGGGGGAAAAACTCGGTGTATGAGACTTTTCCGATGTGTGACATGAGCATGTGTATAACCTCGGAACTCCATACGGAGTACATTGGATTACTCCGTAAGGGATGAAACAGCATCTAATGCAGTCGGCCTCGGGCTGTTTGCACTTGCACATGGAACTGAATTATGGTATAAGGGTAGCAGCAGAAGTACGGAATAAGCAATTCAGTCCAATTTCCCATCCCGTGAAATATGCGTGTTCTTCCGAAGCGATGGCAGCTCATTCGACCCTCTGCCGAGCGACCTGATCCCTTCCCCGATTCTTCCACCTGTGACGGGTGACAAGCGGGGGGAACACAACCAAACATTGCAGGAACGTCGCACGGAGACCTCCGTCGAATACGGGGTGAGAAGGTCCAAGGTAACAGCCGACGCCAATCAACTCCAACCTAACTGTCAATGTAACTCCCGTGAGGATCGAGGATCTCGCTTCTTTGCGGGGAGCCCCGACCAGGGTTGGTGGAGACTCTTGATTGGGTGCTTTCTCCCCTTCTTCCCCCAGATTGATAGGCTGGGATGGTAGGTCATATCCATGTTCTGGGGACGAGAGCCTACCTATACCCGAGGGATCCAAATGGGCCGAGATACCCCTCTTGGAAAAAGGAAAAACCATGTGGAAGGAAAAAGAAAGAAAAGCCTTATGGTCCGGTCCACTGGATTTTCTGGGCATCTTGTGGAGTCTCGTCGGTTTTCCGTTCTTTTTTTTCCATGACACGACTCGCACTTCTGCATTTCTCGCTGTACTCTCCGAGATTCTCCCCCATCTGTGCGCACACATTCTCTTCCTTGCCTATTTTGGTGTTCCCGACGCGGGAAGAGACGGTGTATGGATTCCCGCCCAGACAAATGCCGATCGGACATCAGCTGTCACGGGGTAGTCATTTGCCTAGGTACTCCGTAGAAGGTCAATGGTACTTTTGTACCCTAGTCTGGATAGAGTTCTAGGCCATGGAACCAGGATTGTACGGAGTACAACATTATACGGACGATGGTCCCCCAAATCCACCGATCCCCAGATTTAGGACACTGTAACTTGTTCTCTGGAGAAAAAA